TCAGCTCGCCAACTCAATTCAGACTACTGCTCGGGCGACCACTTTTGCACCTCAGCCAGCCCCACCTACTTAACTCATCAAACCTCAATAAGCGAAATAATCTCGACTCGATTTATCTAATTCGAGATGTATTCACCATATACGGAAGAACTGGTAGTGGAATTTTCCTAAAATGATGCGAGTAGAGCTGACGTTTTCACTGAATTTCAGTTAGCAAGACGTGGTCGAAACTTCAGGAAAGTGAAATTCTATGGAAACATCAGCTCTACTCATATCATTGTGGGATAATTCCCCTACCAAATATTCATCATCTTAATCGAAATATGGTGTATACATTTCATATAACTGAAACCCTGTTTATATGCGAAAAATTAATTTATCTCCTATCAACTCAATTCGTCTAATCTCACGTAACCTCACCTCGGCTAAATTAATATTAAATTCGTCCCTTCGCCACTCAATTCAATTCAACTCCTCTTACCTAACCTCACCTCATCTACAATCAACCCGACTAAATTCATCTTCACTCAACTCAATTCATCTCATCTCAACTAGACTCAACTAATCTATCATCAACTTGACTCAATCTATAAAATCTCAGCTCAAATTATTTCCCCTATACTCAAGTATTCTCATCTCATCTCGTCTAAACTCACTTCATTTACCCTTAACTTGACTCAATTCATGTCGTCTCAGCTCGCCAACCTAATCGGCCTCCAACTCAATTCATCTAATTCCACCTAATCTCACTTCTACCCCGAACCCAATTTGTCTCATCTCATCTCACATAACCTAACCTCAACTAGATTCCTTTCATCTAATCTCCCCTCAGCTAACTTCACTTCACCACTCACCTCTTTCTGGCTGCCAGCAGCTGCTCGAGAATCTCAGGCAATAGGCCCTCCCTCCGGCTCTTCCTCACGAAATATGCACCCGTCGGAGTGCGGATGAAGTCGTCCTCTGACAGATTGAATCGTTCCACCTGAGCCTGAATGCCTCCCGCCTGCCCACTGGCTGCCGGCAGCAGGGAGGTGTAACAGAGATTATGAGCTATCATCACGCTTGGATACAGACTGGCAAAATCGAGAGTGGCGATCGGCTCGTTGTAGAAGCCTTTGCAAGGCTCGATCACCGTGGCTCCTGTAAACTCATCACCGGCCTCTACATGCTGTGTAGGTATCAAGAGGTTCTGATCCTTCGCTTTACGTAGCAATTGAGAGATAACCTGACAGTGGGGGAGAAAATTGAGGAAAGTTTTTCAACAAGTCAATTCTCTTCTAGAAGGGATGAGTAGAATAAGAGTAATCAAGTAAAAAAAATAATTACATTTATATTAAGTCGGTAACGATTCCCGCTGGGGGTGCTGATGAGGTCTAAACTGGGATCCAGCCTGGATGAAAAGACCTTTTGGCAAGTACGGCAAAGTAAATGTCTGTAGTTTAATTGAAGATATGAAGACCAAGATATTGTGGCCTCTAGTATGGTCGCAGTCTCCTTTCGATTGATAGAAGTGGGTTGACCTCGTTGTCGCAACTTGGTCTTGTTGTC